CTCCTTCAGGTGTCTCTCAGGTAGACCCTCCTCCCGTCGCTGAGCCTGTCGAGGTCACAGGTGACTTAGGTTCTGCTGCAGGTGGTGCTGCTGGGAGTGCTGAGCCTGGGGGTGCTGAGCCTGCGTGTACGGAGTCTGGGGGTGCTGAGCCTGGGGGTGCTGCGCCTGGGGGCACTGAGCCTGGGGGTACTGCGACTGAGCCTACGGAGCCTGGGGTTGCTGCGTCTGGGGGTGCTCCGGTTCGGGGTGCTGAGCAGTCTCTCACACCGCAGCAGCTTCGTGACTGGTACGTCCGGCGCTTTCGCCGTCCTCGTGGCCCTGCTGGAGTTGGAGGTTCTGGAGCTGCTCGTCCTGGAGGTGCTCGTACTGGAGGTACTGGAGCTGCCGGGACTGGCTGTTCTGGGAGCACTGAGGCTGGAGCTGCTGGAGCTGGGGACTCTGGAGCTGGCGGTGCCAGCGGAGTTGGAGCTACCGGCTCTGGGGGTGCTCTTCCTGGCGGTACTGGAGCTGCTGGAGCTGACGACACTGGAGCTGACGGTTCTGGACACGGTGGTCCTGCTGGTTCTGGAGGTGCTGGCGAGGGGAGGTCTGACGCTGCTGGGGCCTCTGGTGCTGACGTCGCCGACTCTGGGGGTGCTGCGGCGGAGGGTGCTGGTCCTGGTGCTTCTGGTGCTGCGGGTGCTGGAGGTGCTGGCGGAGCTCCGCCGTCGCGCCTGTTCTTCGCTCCTCCGTCACCGTCGGCTTTGCCACCGCCTGACACGGTGCTTCGCCAGGTTCTTTCCCTCCCGTCTTCCACTGGCCTTCCCCTCCAGCCTGGCTCCCCCCTCCCTGCTCCTGTACCTTACACTGCACTGCCGGACTCGCTTACGGAGCGTCGTGAGCCTGTGTCTCGTCCTGCCTCGCCTGTTCGTGCTGCTCGCACTGCGCGCACTGGTCCCACTGGTCGTCGTGTCGCGCGTCCGCGTCCTCCTCCTGTTCCTGGCACGCATATTATGGCCCTTCGTCCTTCCACTGGTCCACAGCGTGTCCCCCTACCGTCTCCTCCTGCGTCTTCTCTTCCTGACGTTCCCGACCCTGAGTCTGACAGTGTTCGTGCTGCCCACCCTACTGTTACGCGTCTTCTCGCCACTGTTGTCACTGACCCGTCGTTTGAGTCTTCTGCTGCGTCTGCCCTGGTCGCTGAGCTTGTCGACTTTGCTGCTGCATGTCGCCTAGACTACGCCGCCAGTCTTGTTGCTGAGTCTGAGTCTGTCTGTCCTCCGTCCGTCGGGGGTGAGTGTGCTCTTGGCACGGACGTCCTTGAGGACAGGCAGGAGGACTTTGACTCTCTTGCGGCTGCTGTACCTCATCTCGTGGCCTGGTTGCTTGCCCCTGAGGGAGACCCGGATGCACTAGACATCCCCACTCCGCGCTCTTACGCAGAGGCGATCTCGGGTCCCTATTCCTCTCAGTGGCAGACAGCCATGGACGCAGAGATGGCATCCTGGAAGTCCACAGGCACCTACGTCGACGAGGTTCCCCCTCCTGGGGCGAACATCGTCGATGGCATGTGGATTTTCAGGGTGAAGCGGCCGCCGGGTTCTCCGCCTATCTTCAAGGCTCGTTACGTTGCTAGAGGCTTCAGTCAGCGCCAGGGGGTTGACTTCTTCCAGACCTTCTCCCCCACCCCGAAGATGACCACTCTTCGGGTTCTGCTGCACGTTGCTGCTCAGCGTGACTACGAGCTTCACTCTCTTGACTTCAGCACAGCTTTCCTGCAGGGCAGCCTGCACGAGGAGATCTGGCTGCGCCGCCCACCTGGCTTTACTGGGTCGTTTCCTCCTGGTACCCAGTGGAGCCTCCGCCGGCCAGTCTACGGTCTCCGCCAGGCGCCACGTGAGTGGCACGACACACTGAGGACTACACTTGCGGCTCTTGGTTTCGCGCCGTCTACTGCTGACCCGTCGCTGTTTCTGCGCACAGACACGTCGCTGCCGCCGTTCTACATTCTCGTGTACGTCGACGACTTGGTCTTTGCTACTGCTGACACTGAGGCACTCGCTCGTGTGAAGTCGGAGCTGCAGAAGAGACACACCTGCACTGACCTGGGTGAGCTGCGTAGCTACCTTGGCTTGCAGATCACCCGGGACAGAGCACGCCGCACCATTACCCTGACTCAGTCACACATGGTGCAGCAGGTCCTTCAGCGCTTCGGCTTCCAGTTCTCCTCACCACAGGCCACATCTCTGGCTACCAGCCACTCGCTTTCAGCTCCACCTTCGGACGAGTCCGTAGAGCCGAGTGGCCCGTACCCAGAGCTTGTAGGCTGCCTCATGTACCTGATGACTTGCACGCGACCTGACCTCGCGTACCCTCTTAGCATCCTTGCTCGTTACGTTGCGCCTGGGAGACACAGGCGAGAGCATTGGGAGGCTGCTAAGAGGGTGCTGCGTTACTTGTGCAGTACATCAGGCATGGGGCTGGTGCTTGGAGGACGCGACAGAGTTGTTCTCACTGGTCACTCGGACGCTTCTTGGGTGGACGACTTGGCTACGCAGCGGTCGTCGCAGGGTTACACCTTCAGCCTTGGCTCTGGTTCTGTCTCGTGGCGGTCCACCCGCTCTTCTTCTGTTCTCAGCTCTAGTTGTGAGGCTGAGATCTACGCCACGGCCATGGCTGCACAGGAGTTACGCTGGCTCACCTACCTGCTGACTGACTTGGGAGAGCGGCCTAGTTCTCCTCCAGTTCTGTATGGCGACAACAAGGCGTCCCTTGCCTTGTGTCAGGAGCACAGACTGGAGCACAGGACGAAGCACATTGCTCTTCGCTACTTTCTTGCTCGAGAGCTGCAGCAGCGAGGTCAGCTTCGGCTTGTGTACGTGGACTCGAAGGCCAACACTGCTGATATCTTCACCAAGGCGCTCCCGCCTAGTGATCATCAGCGGCACTGTACTTCTTTAGGCCTTGTGTCCACATTCCCTCATTTGCTTACTGCTTGACTTTCTTTGTACTGTACTTTATATATATCTTTTTGCTTGCTTGCTAGGTTTTGATCACTGTGTTGCTTGTCTTGTACTATATCTAGCACTGCATGTGAACTGGCCTTGTGGCCTTTGCTTGTGCTCGGAGTGTGGTGACGTTGTGATCCACCCTGGGCTTGCTTTGCTTTGCTGGACTGGTCTTGTGACCCTTTGTTCTCCCCCACTTTGCCTATGGGGGTGTGTTAAACTGTTATATGTTGGTAGGCTGTAGTGGGGTAGCCAGTATGGGGTACAACCCCAACTAGGGTTAGCTACTTGTACCCAACTGTTTCATTCAATGCACCATTCGCACGCTAGTATTCTAATAAAAATCTCAACTTCGCCCACCTTTCGCCTTCACTGCGACAACCAGAGCGCCATCAAGATCGCGAACAAGCCAGGATTCGTTAACCGCACCAAGAACATCACGCTTCAGTACTTCTTCGTCAAGGACGAAATTGACCAAGGCAAGGTTGACCTCACGTACCGCCCTACTACCGAGACGGCAGCTGATTTCCTCACCAAGCGACTGCCACGTCAGCAGTACCAGCGCTGCTCCGACCTCACCAGAGTAGTCATCTGTCAAACGAGTCAGCCCTCAGCACGCCCAGGAATGAAGGGGGTTGTTCAGATATGAAGCTTTATGAGAAGGCATTCCTGTATGCTGCAGGAGCCGACTCTACCGAGTACGAAGTCGAGGAGTCAGAAGAATCGAAGCGACACCAGCAATCTTCAGATCAAGACCGATGCAGGCAGAAACATTTGAAATGAAAAGAGCGGGAACAGGTTTGAAACGGGTTCCCGCGCCACACGGTTTGAACTCCGTTGCAATAAGGGAATGTACCCCTTAGAGTACATGGCTAGTATTTCGTATTTCGTATGTATGTTGCATTACTATTACTATCTGTCATTTTACATTCACTTTGATCTGAGGTCCACAATTCCGCTGCAACACTACGTGCGAACAATCCTGAACCAATCCCTGGCTAAGTCATGTTTAGGATTGTACTAGAGGGCTAGCTGGGCCGAGGTCGCGGGACCGTGTATGGTCGGATGCAGGTTCGGGGTTGGAAAACCCAAAGGCGATGCGAGAGATGTTCGGAAGGCGAGGTCGTCGGACCGAGCCTGGGACTCCGAAGGTTGGAGTTGTACGCTCATAAGGTGCCTCAGCAAGGAATTTGGTAAAATTCCGCATAATTGTAATGAGTTGTCAAACTGAGTTGTCAAAAAGGGTTTTCATTATAGTGATGATTTCAAAATATTTGCTTCATTTCGCGCCAAATTTCACCAATCAGGGCAGATCCATTTTGCCCTGAGCCATGTCAACACCGAGGGTGCATCACCGAGTGGGCCTTTCAGCGATCTTGCTGGACTGCAATTGGTCGTCATGCGGCCCTCGATTGTTTCAGCTTCTCCCCCATCATCTCTCTCCCCCTTCCCCTCGCGCACGCTTTCCAAGGTGCCTATCGCAGCCGATGCCCGAGTGATTGTTTGCCACAATTTACTGCAGGCAAGACGCGTCAAGACAGCTGGGCATGTGCCGGTTCTTTCTTGGCATCTCTGATGTTGGAATAGATCTGCATTGCGCTGGTTAGGCTTGTTGTTGGAACCGGAGGCGGCGGATGAGCGGGATGTCGGGATGGTCGAGTCCCGTGTTTCGGGAGTCGCTGGAGGCGCTCGAGGACCCGCACACGAGGAGAGGCTCCTTGGCCGCTCTAAGGTACTGCCGTGCCGCTAATGCCACTACTATGCCGTTGAATCGCTGTCTTAGAGTTGACTGTTGATTGTGATTGCCGTGGCGCTGGTTGCACCGATGGACTCTCCGTGGGTTGTCAACCGCGATCCCGTAGTGCACACATGTTCACCCAGGAACCACAAATCTAGACTTGCCGTGACTGCTGTCAGCTTCCTCTTGTGCTCTCGATTCCATTGCATCCTCGTTTCCCGATATCCATTTCCGCCCACGGCAGGCGAACGGTCAAAGACGTGGCCCCGGAGGTGATGCCGCGGCTGCTGCACCACGTGGCGGAGACGACTGTACGGCACACGAGCAGCAAGCGATATGCCGGTGAGGAGGGCGATATGCCGGTGAGGAGGGCGATATGCCGGTGAGGAGGGCGATATGCCGGTGAGGAGGGCGATATGCCGGTGAGGAGGGCGATATGCCGGTGAGGAGGGCGATATGCCGGTGAGGAGGGCGATATGCCGGTGAGGAGGGCGATATGCCGGTGAGGAGGGCGATATGCCGGTGAGGAGGGCGATATGCCGGTGAGAAGGGCGATATGCCGGTGAGGAGGGCGATATGCCGGTGAGGAGAGCGAAACATGCATCATGCACGGCGCTTGTCGCATCGTTGCACGTGGGTGCGCGAGGGATTGGTCCGCAATCCGTACAGTTGATGGGCTTGCGTATAATACTGACGATTCACTGGATATAGCAAGAGACGTCATCATGCATTGCCGGCTGAGCATGGGTACAGCATGCGAGGCTGAACTAGAAGTATTCCCAACGCGGTGCTCGTTCCTTGCGTGGTGGTTCGTTGCGTGGGTGCGTGCGTGCGTGCGTGCGTGCGTGCGTGATGGTTCGTTGCGTGCGTGCGTGGTGGTTCGTTGCGTGCGTGCGTGCGTGGTGGTTCGTTGCGTGCGTGCGTGGTGGTTCGTATCGTGCGTGCGTGCGTGCGTGTGTGCGTGCGTGCGTGCGTGTGTGCGTGCGTGCGTGTGTGCGTGCGTGGGTGCGTGGTGGTTTGTTGCGTGGGTGCGTGGTGGCAGTGTCGCTATTCGCCGAGTGCGCGCGCACGTACGGCCAGCAGATGGCGCTGCACGTGCCCAAGGTCATGACGGCGCTCGTGCGCGCCCTCGCCGCGGGCGCCGCCGCCGGCAATGGCAGCAGCATGGCGAGCAGCAGTGGAGTGGGGGCAGCGGCAGGAGGCACGCCGGGCGGCGGCGGCAACAGCTGCGGCAGGAGCGCGGCGTCGCTGCACGCGGCGTGCGCGGACGTGGTGGTGGAGATGGCCACGCACTGCGTCGCGCCCCCCCACCACCCTGCTGCCGACTCCGCAGCCACGGTGGAGACTCAGATAGGTGCGCTTCCCGCTGACGAGGCAGTGCACTTGTGGAATCGCGGGTGTCCCACCCTCCCACTGTCCATGCACTCTGGTCCCTCTGCCCATGCTCTCCCCGTTCCGATTTGTTCCACGATACGAGTGGCAGTGCCTTTCCTTGATACATCGTCTTGCCTCTGAGCGGGCGTGGGTGTGGCGATGCGTGTGTGCGCAGTACTGGCGGCCATCTGCGACCCGCTGACAGCGGAGCTGGCGGAGCAGCACCACCGCCACGTGCAGCAGCACCACGCAGCGGGGGCGGGCGGGGGCGGAGGGGGCGGGGCGGTGGCAGCAGGGGGCGCGGAGCATGACGCGCTGGCGGGCGCGGCCAGGTGCCTGCTGGCGCTGGTGCAGGCGGGCAAGTGGAAGCAGGCGAGTGTGGGAGGGTGGACTCATTGAGTTGAGTGGGCACATTGCGCACAAGGCTAGATGTGTGGCAACAGGAATCCGTGCTTGCCATGTCCCTCTCTGCCTGTTGTCATCCGCCTTCCTTCACCCTGCTCTGCACTCGTCTCACGGGAGTTGACTGAATCTATCCTTGCCGTTCTCTTCACGTGAAGATAGACTCAGCCGCGCGCGTGTGTGTGTGTGTGTGTGTGTGTGTGTGCGTGCGTGCGTGCGTGCGTGCGTGCGTGCGTGCGTGCTTGCGTGTGCGCGTGTGTTTGTGTGTGGGGGAGTGCGTGTGTGCATGTGTGCATGTGTGCATGTGTGCGTGCATGCTCCATGGCCAGCAGGTGCCCAAGGCGTCGCAGGAGGGGGCGTTCAAGGCGCTCACAGCAGCGCTGGGCGGCGTGCACCGCCCGCTCGCGCTGCTGCAGCTGGCATGCGACCTCTGCCACCTCGACGCCTCGCTCGCCAAGGTCGCTGCCTCGCCATGCGCCATGTGCTTGCTGCGCTGCATGCTGCTTGTGTCTCGTACCACTGGACTGCCTTGTGCTAAATGCCTCAACCTGCGTTTCTGAGTTCATCTGTGCCCGTCCGTACCGTACCAGCGTCTGCTCCCCTTGTGTCCACACTCGAGCTTCACAGAGCTTCCTGGTGCGTGCCTCTCACTTCCCGTGTAACCCCCCTCTTCTCCCCACCCCTTCCCTGGGTGCCAGTTCCACGCCAAGACGCTGCTGCGCGCGGGCAAGGAGGTGCTGCGGGGGGCGGCGTCCGTGGAGCACCGCCTGTACGCCGTGCGCCTGCTCAAGGACGCCATGCGCAGGTGGGGTGCTCAAGGACGCCATGCGCAGGTGGGGTGCTCAAGGACGCCATGCGCAGGTGGGGTGCTCAAGGACGCCATGCGCAGGTGGGGTGCTCAAGGACGCCATGCGCAGGTGGGGTGCTCAAGGACGCCATGCGCAGGTGGGGTGCTCAAGGACGCCATGCGCAGGTGGGCGGGGGGGGTGGAGGAGCGCATGGGGGAGGGATTGTGGGAGGGCATGTCCAGGAGGGGAAAGTGTGTGTGCCTGTCTCCGTCAGAAGCCCTGTGTGCCTGTCTCTGTCAGAAGCCCTGTGTGCTGAGCAGCCCGCACGGGGTTTAAACCGGACGACTACAGCAATGCCTGCCCCACGTGCCCTGCGCTCACGCGGTTCACGGGAGTGTCCGCCTGTGCTCGCCTTGTGGCGCCTTTTCAACGCCACAGCATCACCCGGGCAGCCACAGTGTGTCTCTGTGATCTTCCCCTGCATGACGTCAATCTGCTCTGCTTTATCCGCCAAGCTCCTTTCTAACCTTTCCCTTTAACTTGCTAGCTTCGCACTGGCCTCCTGGTGCCCCTCCCCCGCGCCCCCAGCAGCTGCAGTGCGGCGGTGTTTCAGGCGGAGCTGAGGGACGTGGTGGCGCTGCTCAGGGAGGCCGCCAACCACCCCAAGCTCAAGGCAGACGCGCTCGCAGCCGGCAAGGCCATCCAGGACAAGAAGGTGCGCTGTGATGTGATGTGATGTGATGTGATGTGATGTGATGTGATGTGATGTGATGCAGGGGGAGGCATGTGGCCGGCTGGAGCATGCTTTGTTCACATGGAGGGGACCTGCCGCGTGCCTGTGCGTGCTGAGGCTGCCAGCCCACCCAGGGTTCAGGAGGACGCCCTGGCTGCTCGGCACATGCGCGAGCACAACACAGGCACACAGGGCGAAATGGTTCTCCAGCACCACAGCTTCCACGTGCCCATCATGTGCTGTGCTGTGCCTTCCCAGTCTGCTCCACCTCTCTGCCTCCTCCCTGCTCTTGCGCACTCTGTCTCCGCATGGCTCTTGCGCACTCCACCCACCTTTCTCCCACCCCCGGTGCTGCCCCCCACGCCCCCTGCACCCATCAGAAGCACTGCCCCAGGTCGGGTGCCGCCTCATCCGCCACCAAGGCAGCAGCGCGCTGCCGCCCCGACGCTGCCACGCGCACGCCACACGCCCACCCCGCTGACGATCCTCGCCACGCAACGCCCGGTGCGGGCAGCAGCAGCAGCAGGAGCCACGCATGGATGGGTGGTGAGAGCGACGAGAGCAAGGCGGGTGAGGGGCGGCAGCACGGGTGGCAGCAGGAGAGGCAGGCAGAGGGCGAGGGAGAGGGGCCCACGTCGCCCACGCACTCTGCTGCCTCCTCCTCTGCTGCCCCTACTGCACCCCTTCCACTCGCCCACGCCGTGCCTGCACTCGCTGCTGCACGAGCCGCCTCACAGCCTTCAGATCCGCCTCCCAGCGACCCCACTCTCTACTTCACCCCCCTGCCCGCCCTGCCCCTCCAAGCCTCCTCGCTGCACTCCTCCACACTCGCAGCAGCAGCAGCAGCAGCAGCAGCGCCGGCAGCAGCAGAAGCAGCGGGGACACAGGGAGCAGCAGAAGCAGCGGGGACACAGGGAGCAGCAGTGTCAGATGTGTCTGCAGCCTTCCAGAGTCCGCCAAGGCACTTCATGTTCACAGCCTTCCAGGCGCGGGGGGGTGCAACCTTCACGTCCACGGCGGTGCACGGCAGCGCCCTCTCCGCCACGCCGCCCCCCTCCGCGCCCTACTCCGCTCGCTCCCCCCCCTCCCTCTCACACCTCGGCCCATCACCCTCCCTCTACCTCGGAGCCGGCTCCACCCAAGGCAAAGCGTTTGTGTCCCCAGGCCATGCTGGCAGTGCTGAGAGTCCAGAGGACATGCGGTCGGTGCGGCGGCGGGTGTTTCAGGACGACGCGGTGCCACGGGATGTGCCGCGGGATGTGCCACGGGATGTGCCACGGGATGTGCCACGGGATGTGCCGCGGGATGTGCCACGGGATGTGCCACGGGATGTGCCGCGGGATGTGCCACGGGATGTGCCGCGGGATGTGCCACGGGATGTGCCGCGCAGCGCCTTCTCGCCTCACCTGCTGCCCTTTCACTCCGCTGCCAAGTCGTTTGAGTCGAATCCAGCGCCGCATGAGTTGAGTGAGCAGGCAGCAGCATTGAGAGGCGGGGGGGGGAGAGGAGGCAGGGCGGGTGGGCATGGAGAGGGAGAGCAGGCGAATGCCGGCGCTGGGGGTAGTCAAGAGAGGACAGGTAGCGGGCACAAGCCCATGGGGCGGGCTGCTGCTGCCAATGGTGGTGGCAAGGGTGGACGGGAGTGGAGCCCCACGAGTGAGAGCAGCAAGGGCAACGTGAGGAGCAGCCTGTCACCCAGCTCCAGTGGCGAGGGCCGTGAGGCGCTGCGAGGCAAGCCCAGGTCGCCACACAGCCGCGGCAACTCGCCCCTCTACGAGCTCGCTGCCGCCTTCGTGCGCGCCCGCAAGTCGCCCGACCTCTCCGGCAGGCTTGGCACGTTCAGCCTCACCTCTGGCAGCCCTGACCAGCTGGGGGCTTACCGCCTGGGGGGCAGCAGGATGGCGGGGGGGACGCTGGGGGGTGGTGGTGGTGGCGGAGGGGGCAGAGGGAGCCCCATGCGCATCACTCTCTCAGGTGTGCTGTGCCCCATGCGCATCACTCTCTCAGGTGTGCTGTGCCCCATGCGCATCACTCTCTCAGGTGTGCTGTGCCCCATGCGCATCACTCTCTCAGGTGTGCTGTGCCCCATGCGCATCACTCTCTCAGGTGTGCTGTGCCCCATGCGCATCACTCTCTCAGGTGTGCTGTGCCCCATGCGCATCACTCTCTCAGGTGTGCTGTGCCCCATGCGCATCACTCTCTCAGGTGTGCTGTGCCTCATGCGCATCACTCTCTCAGGTGTGCTGTGCCCCATGCGCATCACTCTCTCAGGTGTGCTGTGCCCCATGCGCATCACTCTCTCAGGTGTGCTGTGCCCCATGCGCATCACTCTCTCAGGTGTGCTGTGCCCCATGCGCATCACTCTCTCAGGTGTGCTGTGCCCCATGCGCATCACTCTCTCAGGTGTGCTGTGCCCCATGCGCATCACTCTCTCAGGTGTGCTGTGCCCCATGCGCATCACTCTCTCAGGTGTGCTGTGCCCCATGCGCATCACTCTCTCAGGTGTGCTGTGCCCCATGCGCATCACTCTCTCAGGTGTGCTGTGCCCCATGCGCATCACTCTCTCAGGTGTGCTGTGCCCCATGCGCATCACTCTCTCAGGTGTGCTGTGCTGTGCCCCATGCGCATCACTCTCTCAGGTGTGCTGTGCCCCATGCGCATCACTCTCTCAGGTGTGCTGTGCTGTGCCCCATGCGCATCACTCTCTCAGGTGTGCTGTGCTGTGCCCCATGCGCATCACTCTCTCAGGTGTGCTGTGCCCCATGCGCATCACTCTCTCAGGTGTGCTGTGCCCCATGCGCATCACTCTCTCAGGTGTGCTGTGCTGTGCCCCACTCATGCTTCATTTTACACGTGTGGGCAGCTTGGATCCTTGTTTGTTTTTCATGCATGCTTCCCAGGTTGTCTCGCTCGCCCCTCCTCCTCCTCTCCGCTCCCTCAACCACCGCCTTCCACTCGCCACCTTCATCGCCTCTCTCCACTCCCCGCATCGCTGCCCTTTTCCATGCACCCCACAGACTCGGCCATGTCCTCGGACTCCGCCCACGCAGGGCTCTCCTTGGAGCGCGCGCACCTCTTCACCTCGCCCTTGGCCTCGCCGCCCTTGCACGCACAGGCAGCAGGCAGCACGCAGGCGGGCAGGGCAGGGGGAGTGGGGGAGGGGTCAGGGCAGGCGGGCTTTCTGCTGCACCTGCCCCCGCATGCACGCACAGGCGCCAGTGCACAGGGCGGCAGCAGCAATGGTGGCGTGGGCAGCAGATCAGTGGGTGGCGGTGTGGGCATGGGCAGTAGTGGGGTGTTTGTGCGGCTGAGTGGGGAGGTGGACAATTGTGTGGGGGCTGCACAGGCGTCAACGGGCTGCAAGACGGCAGGGGAGGGTGGGGATGGTGACGGCAAAGGGGCCGTGCTGGTAGCACACTTGGCTGTGCAGGCAGAGAACACGGGGGCCCATGGGAGTGCCGCGGATGGGAGCATAAGCAGGGAGGGGCCATGTGAGTCAGCACAGGCGTCAGCAGCAGCAGGCAGTTGTGGTGGCGGGCGCAGCAGGGCAGGCGAGCATGGTGGCGAGGGCAGTGTGGAGGGCAGCAGTGAGTGCGAGGGGTCGTCGGGCTTCTGCCGCCTCATCTCCGACGCTGAAGTCGCCTCCGCGCTCGCCAGCATGCGCGCCACTCACGCCCTCTCCGCCCTCAGGTCTGTGCCGCGCTGGGCCGCACATCCCTCCCCGTCCTTATGCTCTCCTCCTTGTTCATCCCCGCATATCGTTCTCCCTGCTACCTTTCCTCGTGTCTGCCCTTCCCTCCATGTGTTGTGTGAAGAGCTTCTCGCCTCTTCCCCCACCCTCTTGTGCTGCCCATCAGCAGCAACCCCTCGGACAGCGGTAAGGACGGCAGTCACAGCAGCAGCGCCACCAACGCCCACCGCGCCACTCTCCCCATGGGCTCTGCGCCACCAGCGCTGCACCGCACGTCTGAGCCGCCCCCGCCCTCCCACGCCCAGCCTTCCGCACCCGTGCTCTTTGCCCCGCCTCCCTCCCTCCCAGCCAGCATGCACCTCGCCCCGCCCTCCCAGCCCGCGGAGCAGCAGTTGCAAGGGCAGCAGGAGAGAGGCGCAGGGCTAGGCCAGGTGTGCAGAGGGGATGAGGGAGAGAGTGAGGAGCGGGGGGGAAAGGGGCAAGGAGAGGGGCGGGAGGAGGTGAGTGGGTTTGGCGCGAGCTGCCTGTCACCTCCGGGCAGCATTGGCCGGTGGACGCTGCAGAGTAAACCGCCCCCTCCCATGGCCCTCATTATGGACGGGGGGAGTGGCGTGACGTCAGCACGGGACAGTGTGGCATCAGGAAGAGGCAGTGCCACGTCAGCGCGAGGCGGAGGGGAGGTGCAGCATATGGGCAGCTTGCAGTCGCTGTGTGGTGGTGTGCGGGCGAGCAGGGCAGGGGAGTCGACCAGCAAACAGCGATATGTGAACACTCCGTACCACCTCTCCCTCTCCTCCCCACTGCCCCTCCTTCCCAACTCTCCTCCTCCCAACCGTCCCTCTCATTTACACCTATCCTTCTGCTTCCCATCGTTCACTCTCCTCCTACACGTATCGCCCACCTGACTCCTATCTCCCTCCTTAATCGCTCCCTTTCCACGAAGAGCTATTCTCCCACGTTTCCGTTCCGTTGATCCCTCTCTTTGCACTTTTTGATCTCCTTGTGTCAATCCATCTCTTTCTCGCGTCCCCTCCATCTCCCTTCTCCAACTGCTCACTCATTCTGCTCATCTGCTAGATCCCATCTCCATCCTCTCCCTCTCCTCCCCCATTTGATCCCATGGCTCCGCCTGCCTTGTGCCCCTCCCATCCTTCCGTCCCACCCTGTGAACCAACCCCATCCTTTTCTCCAGCCTCAGACCCACACCCTCCTCACTCTGCCTCAAACTCTGCTCCGTTCCCCCATCCCCCTATTCCCCCATCCCCCCATTCCCCCATCCCCCCCATCCCCCCATCCGCCATCCCCCAGGCGTCCCCCATCCGCCCGGAGGACCTGGAGTGTCCGGTGCCGCTGGCAGCGCTGGCGAGGAGTCTGCAGCACACGCCGCTCACTGGGGACGAGGTGGACGTGCTCCCCCCGCCCTCGCCCCACCGCACCACCCGCACTCCCACCGGCTCCCAGGCCGCCGGTGGCAGCAGCAGCACTGCGCTCACCACGCCCACAGCAGGCAGCAGCACGAGTGGCAAGAGCGGGTCTCCTTCTTCCCACATGAGTGGCGCCATGGAGTGTGCGCGGTGGAGCATGCACCACAACCCCATGGCTGCCCACCGCCTCACAGGTGACGCGCCTCCCAGCAGGTTCGGTGTGCGTGGACTTAGTGTGAGTGGGGAACAAGTGGCAGACAGTGCTGCGGTCAAACCTGCACCTGCCACTGCCACTGCCTCTGCTGATGCTGATGCTGATGCTGGTGATGCTGTGAGTGGTGGTGCAGGCGAGGGCGCGTGGGAGGAGGAGGTGCAGCAGGAGGTGAGGGTGCTGGAGGCCAGTGAGAGCGAGCAGCAGCAGGCCGTGGCACAGCTGGAGCAGTACGTGGGGGAGGTGGGGGAGGGGAGGGGCGACGACAGCGAGGGAGGTGCATGTGGTGAGGAGGTGGAGGGAGGAGAGGAGCTTGGAGGGAGAGGCAATGCGGTGGGGGCTGACACACAGGGGAGGGAGGGCGCAGGGGGGAAGGGAAAGGGCACAGGGGAGGAGTGTGAATCAGTGAGTGGGGCAGTGGGGGTTTGGGCGAAGGTGAGGCAAGGAAGCAGCGAGGCGTGCAGCGGTGGTGAGGTGCGTGCTGTGCGTGCGAGTGTGAGTGGCGGTGGTGGGGGGATCAGCAGTGGTCACAGCAGACAGGCAGAACGACAAATGTTGAAGGGAGAGAGCTGCGATGGGGACTTGAGCCGCGACACCACTGCTGGAGACAGCGACACGGATGGGGGTGAGGGGGAGGACGGAGAGGAGGGGGGAGGCGAGGTGGTGGAGGGGAGGGGAGTGAGGGCGTGGGTGGTGGCGGCGGTGACAGCATTGGAGAGGGCGGTGGAGGGGGTGCTGCAGATGGTGCTGCTGGCTGCCGTGGTGCTGCTGCTGGCCCTGCTGGGCGGCAGGCTGGCAGCCGTGGTGCACACTGAGGGTGGTGATGGGGATGACTTCGTGCCCACCTAGCTGCCCTCCTGCTGCCCCACGCCCCTCCGCTCTTGCTCAGTGCCCCACTCCCCGCCCTGTCATGCCGCTCACCTCGCATGCAAGTCCACGAGCAGCCCACCATGTTCATAGTACAGCACCTGAGCTGACACACACTGACACCTGATGCAGCACCTGAGAACCAAAGCCCCTGAGAGCACCGGAGTAAAATTCAAGGACTCCTGCGACGACTGCAGCTTGCAATTCTTCCCTTCAATTCGCCCATCAACATGCCCATCAACTCAACCATCAACGCAACCATCATGTAGCCATCCAAGCGCCAACAATACGCATCACTGTGTGGATCGATGCACTCCCTTCCAACCCTCTCATTGTTGTGAAAACCATCCCTCTTGTTCCGTTTAACACACTGCATTGTAGAGTTTGACCGGCATCAATGTTTTGACTTGCAAGAAACTGAAAATGATATGAGTAGAGGTGTTCAGGTGTACGGATTGTGGTGATGATGGTCTAAAGATTTGCAGTTAACTGTAGACGCGTTTTAGCGAGTTCGTTCCGAGGCGCTCACAGCTGCTGGTTGGCCAACAATTTCGTCCCGAACCGCCCCGACGTCCTCGCCCAGCTCGTTTCCACATATTTTAACCTCGTTATTCTATCATTCGGTAGTTTTTTTAAAATATGTGTTTTCCCAACTTTGAGTTCGCTGATAAGTATTCATTCGAGTGCACTGTCAAAACATCACCGAGGCACGGTAGCACCGAAGCCACCTTGAACAGATCACGCGCACCGTCTCGTCTGTCCGAAGAAAAGCCGCAAATTTCGCGTCGGAAGGCCAGAGTCGCTGAGCGCCACCAAAAGCTCGTCCATTTCTGTGCGAGTGTGAGCGCGCTGCCTCGCAGCACGTGCCCCGCGCGCGAATTGCATCCGCTCGCGTCCGCCGTCAGCTCGGAGCCTCGCGCCCCGCTGCAATCCGCATCATGGAACCCCTTGCTGCCTCCCCCAACACACAAAGCACGGACGGCCGGCAATCGTTGTTGTCGCTCGCTGAACCTGAACCGTCCGTCTATCTCCACGTGGCGTTGCCTGATGGCTTCTCCCTCCCCGCCGCCGTTTGCAGCTACGGATTCTTCATGATGGCGCCGACCGTCTGGATCCCGCCACGTGGCAGTGAATCAACAGCACAAGGGGGGCTGGGAGTGAAGAGCGAGTCAGAGGAGGCGGCGGGAGATCCAGGGAGCGCGGAAGGAGGCAGGCGGGAGGCGGGAGATGGGTGGGAGGGGGAGGAGGGGAGCGGAACGTACGCAGAGAGGAAAGGGCTCGATGAGGAGGGGGAGCGGGGGAGCAGTGGGAATGCATGGGGAGGGGGAGAGCAAGCATGGGGAGTGATGGAGCGGCCGCTGAGGCTGGCTGATGGGCGAGCGGTGATGGTGCGAATCACACAGCATGGCGCTGCTGACGTCACAGAACTTTCTTCTGCCGCCATGGCGTGTGTTGACGATGGCACCCCCAGTGGCACCGTGCCCTGCCACAGCTCTGCCCCCTCTGCCCTTAGGGCCACCAGTGATGAAGCTGCTGCTGCTGCTGGCAGTGGCAGCGATGACACGAGTGTGGCAGCAAGACGCTGTGGGGGCAGCAGGAGAGTGGCGGTGACGCAAGGGACATGGCTGAGGGTGAGGGTGATGGGGGTGGCGCGCATCACAGCAGAGGACCAAGCACACCTGCTCGTGAGCCCTTGTATCCGCCATCCATGCATCGCCTGCCATCCATGCATCGCCTGCCATCCATGCATCGCCTGCCATCCATGCATCGCCTGCCATCCATGCATCGCCTGCCATCCATGCATCGCCTGCCTGCCCATGCCCCGCCATCATCCCTCTCCTCCGCTGCTCCCCTTTCTCTCCTTGCCCGCCCTGCTTCACCACGCCTTCCAGTCAGCAACCTCGTGCGCCGCCCTGGCCCAGTCCCCTCCCCACCACGAGCGTCCTTGCTCCTCTCCCGCCTGCATCTCGCCCTCAACCTCGTGCCCCCCCTGCTTCCCCACCGTGCTTTCCTCCCATCCAACACCCCACCTCCTCTCCCCTGTTCTCTTCCCCGCCCCAAGTCGCACATTGCTGCTGGGATCCGAGTGGCTGTGCCTCTCCCGCCACACTCCCTGCTGCCCAACCAATCCCCATGCATCCCTCCGCACCCCCTCCCACCCCTTGCTCCCCACCGCCACCCCTGCAGGCGCAGGTGCAGCGCATGTTGCGCCTGTCGCCCGCCTGCCAGGCCGCGCTGCAAGCCTTCCACCGCCGCCACCCCGCCGCTGCCGCTGCGGGCTTTGGGCGGCTGTACCGCTCGCCATCGCTCTTTGAGGATCTCGTGAAGGCGCAGCTGCTGTGCAACTGTGAGTGAAGGCGCAGCTGCTGTGCAACTGTGAGTGAAGGCGCAGCTGCTGTGCAACTGTGAGTGAAGGCGCAGCTGCTGTGCAACTGTGAGTGAAGGCGCAGCTGCTGTGCAACTGTGAGTGAAGGCGCAGCTGCTGTGCAACTGTGAGTGAAGGCGCAGCTGCTGTGCAACTGTGAGTGAAGGCGCAGCTGCTGTGCAACTGTGAGTGAAGGCGCAGCTGCTGTGCAACTGTGAGTGAAGGCGCAGCTGCTGTGCAACTGTGAGTGAAGGCGCAGCTGCTGTGCAACTGTGAGTGAAGGCGCAGCTGCTGTGCAACTGTGAGTGAAGGCGCAGCTGCTGTGCAACTGTGAGTGAAGGCGCAGCTGCTGTGCAACTGTGAGTGAAGGCGCAGCTGCTGTGCAACTGTGAGTGAAGGCGCAGCTGCTGTGCAACTGTGAGTGAAGGCGCAGCTGCTGTGCAACTGTGAGTGAAGGCGCAGCTGCTGTGCAACTGTGAGTGAAGGCGCAGCTGCTGTGCAACTGTGAGCCCAAGTGCTCTGCTCATGTCGCCGTGCTCTGCTCATGTCGCCGTGCTCTGCTCATGTCGCCGTGCTCTGCTCATGTCGCCGTGCTCTGCTCATGTCGCCGTGCTCTGCTCATGTCGCCGTGCTCTGCTCATGTCGCCTTCACTCACAGTTGCACCCCACCCATTCGCCCAAGTGCCCAAGTGTTGTCAGAGTCTGCGGATTTGGGGTCCGGGACTCACATACTCTCCATTCGCTCACATTCCCTCCTAATCCTTTCCCTTTGTCATCTCGTGTTCCCTTCCCCGCATCCTTCCTGTGCTGTCTCTTCTTTGAACTGGGGAACCCGAGAGCAGGCGGGGAGCCCCCGAACCCCCCGCCTCTTACAGCGCACCTGCTTCCCTTGTGCTGTGCCATGCGGTGCGGTGCGGTGTGCTGTGCAGGTGGGTGGGGCAGGAGTCTGGCCATGGCACGTGCGCTCTGCCTCTTGCAGCGCCACCACTTTGGCTCTCCCACCGGCGCACGTGGTGAGCCCTCGTGCTTCCCTTGTGCCCGCGTTCATCGCATTCCATACTCCTCTGCTTGCTTGTGCGCACCGCCATGGACACACCTGCGGTGACGGATGTGAAGGCACGGTGGGATTCCAGGCTTGTCAGTGCATTGTGTGCGTCAACACACGCATGTGCCAGTAAGGCCTGCTGTCAAAAACGCCAATAGGTGCTGTATTCTCGCAAACGCCAATAGGTGCTGTATTCTCGCAAACGCCAATAGGTGCTGTATTCTCGCAAACGCCAATAGGTGCTGTATTCTCGCAAACGCCAATAGGTGCTGTATTCTCGCAAACGCCAATAGGTGCTGTATTCTCGCAAACGCCAATAGGTGCTGTATTCTCGCAAACGCCAATAGGTGCTGTATTCTCGCAAACGCCAATAGGTGCTGTATTCTCGCAAACGCCAATAGGTGCTGTATTCTCGCAAACGCCAATAGGTGCTGTATTCTCGCAAACGCCAATAGGTGCTGTATTCTCGCAAACGCCAATAGGTGCTGTATTCTCGCAAACGCCAATAGGTGCTGTATTCTCGCAAACGCCAATAGGTGCTGTATTCTCGCAAACGCCAATAGGTGCTGTATTCTCGCAAACGCCAATAGGTGCTGTATTCTCGCAAACGCCAATAGGTGCTGTATTCTCGCAAACGCCAATAGGTGCTGTATTCTCGCAAACGCCAATAGGTGCTGTATTCTCGCAAACGCCAATAGGTGCTGTATTCTCGCAAACGCCAATAGGTGCTGTATTCTCGCAAACGCCAATAGGTGCTGTATTCTCGCAAACGCCAATAGGTGCTGTATTCTCGCAAACGCCAATAGGTGCTGTATTCTCGCAAACGCCAATAGGTGCTGTATTCTCGCAAACGCCAATAGGTGCTGTATTCTCGCAAACGCCAATAGGTGCTGTATTCTCGCAAACGCCAATAGGTGCTGTATTCTCGCAAACGCCAATAGGTGCTGTATTCTCGCAAACGCCAATAGGTGCTGTATTCTCGCAAACGCCAATAGGCGCTGTATTCTCGCAAACGCCAATAGGCGCTGTATTCTCGCAAACGCCAATAGGCGCTGTATTCTCGCAAACGCCAATAGGCGCTGTATTCTCGCAAACGCCAATAGGCGCTGTATTCTCGCAAACGCCAATAGGCGCTGTATTCTCGCAAACGCCAATAGGCGCTGTATTCTCGCAAACGCCAATAGGTGCTGTATTCTCGCAAACGCCAATAGGCGCTGTATTCTCGCAAACGCCAATAGGCGCTGTATTCTCGCAAACGCCAATAGGCGCTGTATTCTCGCAAACGCCAATAGGCGCTGTATTCTCGCAAACGCCAATAGGTGCTGTATTCTCGCAAACGCCAATAGGCGCTGTATTCTCGCAAACGCCAATAGGCGCTGTATTCTCGCAAACGCCAATAGGCGCTGTATTCTCGCAAACGCCAATAGGCGCTGTATTCTCGCAAACGCCAATAGGCGCTGTATTCTCGCAAACGCCAATAGGCGCTGTATTCTCGCAAACGCCAATAGGCGCTGTATTCTCGCAAACGCCAATAGGCGCTGTATTCTCGCAAACGCCAATAGGCGCTGTATT